ATTTCACCATCAAAACTTCCTGCATATATCACATTTCCTTTGACCTGAGGATACAGAGGTTGTATATATTCCAAATTTAAGTATCTTTCTACAAGAGTAAAGAAAGAAAGAGAAAAACACTTGTAAATCTCCAGCAAAAAACAAAAACACATTCATATTCAACATAGATTACCACAAAATACTTTCTCATTTTTAAAAGTAATACTCACACAAAGCAACATACACAACAATAAAACAAGACTACTTACAGTAACAGATATGACTTGGCTCTCAAAGGCATTAACAAAGGCAAAGCGCTGGCCACTTGAAACACACCATATTTCCAATTTGCCACCCTCTGTGCCTGTCACAATGCCCCATGTTCCACAACTCAAGCAAGTTATTCCATTATAAGTGTATATGGACCCATGGCTTTCACCTGTAATATATGGACATTTTATGAACAAAGTTATTCAAGTTATATCCACATCATATATAAAATGTATGCAGGAAATGGCCAAATGATTCTCCAAACACAAAGAAACACAAAATGCATTCAAGACTGGATTTTAAATGCCTGGTGTACGGTCTCACATGCTACCTCCTTTTCATCCATTTATATTTATTTTTTTCCATTATTTTATATTCTTACTTAATATTTGTAATATGATTCTACATAACTGAATAATATCTTTCAAGATAATGAAACATTTTGGACAATATTTATGGGCTGCCCTTATCAGTACATTAGGGATTCCCGATAAGCAATAATACCTAAATATGTAGAAAGTCGAGTTAAACCTTATGAAACCAGTCCATTCAATTTGCAATGTAAATGATATGTCAATCCAAAACAGTTGCATGAGTTAACTACTCATTCTGGATCACTAAGGCATACCAAAGATGGCATGAGACATCTCCTCCATCATTATCAGAGGGATATTTATAAATAGCAAGTCTATGCTTCATTTTGTATAGAAATGAATATCTATCAGATTAAATGCATTGCTTTCACAACACTAGAGACAATTTCATATACATGTATCAACCCACTGAGGCCAAATGGGTATGTATGCATGCTCTGTCTACTTTAACTTTAATTTATTTTCTTTACACATTAATGGCTCCACAATTTCATGACTATTTGTATTGCTGATAATAACAACAACAGCAACAACAACAACAACAACAACAACAACAACAACAACAACAACAACAACATAATAATAATAATAATAATAATAATAATAATAATAATAATAATAATAATAATAATAATGATAATGATAATGATAATGATAATGATAATGATAATGATAATGATAATGATAATGATAATGATAATGATAATGATAATAATGTCAATCATGATAATAAACACATATTAAATGACAGTAACATTATTGTAAAAAATGAAAACTTTCTATTTTAAAAATTCAAGAGCATGTTCCCAGTGCCAATGGGTTCAAGAAATTCAACATGAACTGACCTGAGATAATATCCCACACCTTCACTGTACAGTCAAGTCCACCTGACACAGCTAGCACTCTGCATTCTGGTGATTGTTGTCCTTGTACTGATGGGATCTCATCATACTCCGACTGAGAACCATTAAAAAGTTAAATACTACCAATGGTCAGTTACATAAAACCACAAGGATTCAAAAATACAGCATTTACACCAAATATACTTTATATATATTGTAATATGATATATACCAAATCTAAATACCTCCAGCTTTGCCAACACAGTAGCTGCAAGTTCTCCAGGGAGAAATGCCACTGAGGTAACTGATGCTCTATGGCCACGCAGACTCCTTTCTTCTTCTATGCCACCCACACGCCAAACCCTCACTGTTGTATCCCGACTGGTAACACAAAAAAGGATCAGGAAAAGAAACCAAATTTTTCTATACTTCACTTTCTACATGTCTTGGCTGGTAATGGAAGGAAGAATGGGAGGGAAAAAGGGCAAGCAACAGAAAAAAAAGGAAGGAGGGAGCAAAGAAGAAAAGAGAATTATTCATTTGGTTGAAAATTAATAAAAGGAAATGAGAAAGATACATATTAAAAACACAAAAGGGAGTATACAAATGCAAAGTAAATAGAAACGACATTAAAATACAAAAGAAACAATTACCTTGCTGAGAGAACATATCCATCAGAACAGTCCACATCTAAAATGATGTCATTATGACCTTTCAAAGTATACACTTTATAATTGGTATCTCTCCATATACATGGTTCTTTCTTTGGTTTTGTTGGCTCTGCTGGCTTTCCCTTTGCTGGCTGAGGCACCTTCTCTTGGGGAATATCCTGTTTTGAAGTTATCTCCCCTTCTGCAACGGCTTGAGTCGGCCTAGATGTCTTCTGTGGCTTAATTGCATTAACAGCTTCTGCCACTTGGGTCTGTGAAGTGACTGCAGGTTTTCCTTGATTCTCTTCTTTGACAGTTTCCACAGAAGTGGTGGAGAAATCACAGAACTCCACTTCCTCTTCCCCATTTCGACTTTTTTTCTCTT